TTTTTTTTTTTTTTTGGTGTCAGTTTCAGGGTTATTTTCCAATAACAAGGAAATAAAAGTATGCTCACCCATATTATTTCTTTTTACCACTTAGAAATAAGAAAAATGCCCAACATGCAGTTTTATCTATGTACAACAAATAAATGTAAAGCAATGCATATAATTATAATTATTATTATATGCATGGGAGAGTTTTGGTACATTTAGTCCCCTGTCTAGCTAATATTCAGTAATGAACCAACTTTAAAAAGTGAAGTTCAGGTACAGTGGCTTATGCCTGTAATCCCAGCACTTTGGGAAGCTGAGGCAGGTGGATCACTTGAGCCCAGGAGTTCGATATTAGCCTGGGCAACATGGGGAAAACCCATCCCTACCAAAAAACTACAAAAAATTATCTGGGTGTGGTGGTGCACACCTGTAGTCCCAGTTACTCAGGAGGCTGAGGTGCGAGAATCACCTGAGCTCCAGAGATAGAGGCTGCAGTGATCGGAGATTACGCCACTGCACTCCAGCCTGGGTGTGGGAGTGAGACCCTATCTCCAAAAAAAAAAGTTAAACTTCAAAATTAGTTTCTACATTTTATATACTTTTTATTAAAAATATTCAATAGCTGCTTCCTAGATTAAAAAAATCAGACAATATACGTTAGTTTTAATGAGATTCTCCCCAACGTGCTAGAAAATATGTATTTTATAGTCATTAAGGAAGACTTACCCAGTGTCTTTATATATCTTCCCTCCAAAAAGAATTGAAAAGAAATAAATGGAATATGCTTCATTTCCTCCAGGTAGGACTCACACTGTATCTTCTGTAAAAAGTAGGGCGACCCACCATTTGCTCAGGATTTTCAAGGTTTAGCAGTGACAGTCTTATCCCAGAAACACTGAGATCCCCAGCAACCACAATGATTGGTCACCCTAATTCAGATGGCTTCCCTAGTAAAGAGTGTTACATCTTACTCTGTGAATGGAGAACCAAACGGTTGGTTAAATACTGTTTTTTTAAGACCTTGCAAGTATTCATTTCCATTTTATTCACTTTCAGTCTTTCTTCCCCTTTCTTTCTTCTCTGCCATTTTAGCTCTCATAGCCACTAAATGAGCTAGAGGCATGTTTTTCACTCTGGGTTATTTACAGTGCTTTTATTTTATTTTTTAATTTTCTTGAAAGAGCTTATCCAGAAAGGGAGCCTAATGTGCCTGATGTTTTGAGGGTTGGTTTTGATACTCCTATTCACTACTTATTTACTTTGGCAGCCACACCATTCTGCCTACCTCAGCTGAAGAGAACATCCCATCATAGAAGGGCAGAGGTGTTCCCTGTGGCCGTGCTTTGAAAACAGCTCAGCGATGCCCTTCTCTTGGGCTGCACCAAGGGCATGGTATCACTGAGTTGGTAGCTGTTCACTGCCTGGGACTTCTGCTGATTTGGAGCTCTCTGCATCCATAGCCCATGCTGCAGGCCACATATTGCATAGTAAGGAGTTGACTGCACTTGAACCTTTAAATTTATGAAAAATTGGCAAAGCTGGTTTGCATAATTCATTGGGTTGCTTCTCTTTGCATTTCTTGTATGATTTTTAAAAATTGTTTTCCCCTGATACTGAGTTTCTATCACTCTGGTCTACTCAGCTGTGTTATTTCCTAAACAGCTAAAGAGAAAAATTGTCACAGATACACAGGCTGTGAAATTCTTCCTAGTTGAAAATAAGCCACATATGTCAGTATTCATTCAGAAGCAGAAATTTGCTTTTCTCTGTGTTTTTTGAAAGCCTAAAAGCAGTTTCAAGTCATCTTCCAACCTATATCTGTCGTTTAGCAGTGCAAAAGCAGTTTCCTAGAAATGACTGAGGCTTAAGCACACAGCCACGTGCTGATACATACAAATTCTATCCATTCATTGGCAAAGAGAAGTGCTTTATTAAACTTAGGGTAATTAAATGTGCCACTATGTCTACAACAGTGACAATGTAACAAGTAGAACGGCCAAGTAGGTATAAACCTTATTCAAATAACATTCTGCCATAGGTGCTGCTTACCCTCCTTGGACTTTGCAATCCTGGCTGTGAACGTCAGGACCCATCCAGCTCAGGTATCCTTGGAAGGTTTTTCAGTTTGGCACTTTAAGAAACAGCAAGAAAATGACTCATTGAGACTAATCAAACCCATATTATATGAGACCTATGTAATTAAATTTTATGTTTCACATAAATAAAATGATATAAACAACCAACTCCAGATCACATAAAGTGTAGAACTTGCAGCACACTTTAGCCTGGAATGACCGAGAGACTGGTCCTTTGTTCTGGTGCTGCCTCATTTCCTCTTTCTTCCTCCTGTGCCATCTGAGTCTGTGGATGTTCCTTGGGGTATAGCTGTCCTTGTCTCACTCAAGTCAGCACCTCGATGCTTCTATTTATGTCAAAGTATCATGGACAGTTCTGATATTCTATATTTGTTACTGCTGAACGTTTACACAAGTGGGGGAGGGGCTTTTGATTGCAAGAGACAAGGAATTCCCTTGGGTTACTTTAGTGGAAAACGGGATTTATTGTAAGCCTGTATGTTGACAGAAACTCTAGGCAGTAGCTGCTTTCCCTGGCCCTCATGGCTATATGGTCTCTTTCTTCCATTGTGCCTCTGCTTCTCTTTTTTTGTTTTATTCTCGTCCCTCTACAGATAACATTCTTTGGCTTACTCATAACTTCCCCTTCCTTGTAAGTTCAGTTTTCACACATCTCTTCAAGCCTCCTTCTAAATCCAGAACTTTATGCTGCAGCTCCAAACGTTAACTGGCTCAGTCTCTTTATTTTTCTGAATTAAAGTCCCAGTGTGACATAGATTATTACGGATTTTAATACTTATCTGTCCTTCCACACTTTATGCTTTTTGAGCATAAGATGTTGCCTGTTTTCCTTGCCACTGTATACCCACAGTGCCTAGAAGAAAATAGGGACTGAGTTAATATTTTATGAATGAATAAAATATGCAAAAAAAATCTGAAATTTGCTAATAACTGTTCTTGGTTGGGGGTAATTTTCCACCTGAGGTGAACGGGCTGAGTCTTCTCAAACATGAGTCCATTTGGACTGAAGTCATCTTATTCTTTTCCTAGTCCTGTTCCAAGAACCCCAAATGGCTTTCCAATTTAAGGCCAAAATTTTCCATAAAAATTGATGTGATGAAACATTTAAATAGTAAATGTTGGGAGAGAGATTGTTTCCATGGTGACTTCTGCTTCAGGAGTCCTTGTTCTAAGCACAGAAGAGAATGACTGAGCTGAGACACCATGAACTTCACATCATCCAGTTGCCATTAACCTAAATTCAGCCAGCTTTATCAGTGCCCATGGCAGTGACCCTGTCTTTGATTCATTCCTGGGAGGTTCTTATTTTGGTAAAATGAGTTCATAAAAGCAGATGAAGGTGGTGGGAAAGGCATTTCAATCCTTCTATTGAAAGTTGAGATGTGAGCTGGGCATGGTGACTCATGTCTGTAATCCCAGCACTTTGGGAGGCTGAGGCAGGAGGATCGCTGGAGCCCAGAAGTTTGAGACCAGCCTGGGCAACATGGTGAGATCTTATCTCTACAAAAAGTTTAAAAAATTAGCCAGGTGCAGTGGTGCATGTCTGTGGTCCCAGCTACTCAGGAAGCTGAGGTGGGAGGATCGCTAGAGCCCAGGTGTTCCAGGCTGCAGTGAGTTGTGTTTGCTCCAGTGCACTCCACCCTGGGCCACAGAGCAACACTTTTTCTGAAAGAAAAGAAAAGAAGAGAAGAGAAGAGAAAAGAAAGTTGAGATGTGCTAACACTTACCTGTGGAATGACTTTTCTCTTTGTGTGGTGCCAAAGTTTTCTGATTTCCCTCTGAAGAGTGTATGTCTGGGGTATATCCTGTCTGTGTTCCCAGCCAAACTGTAATGACAGCGGGGCCACCCTGCTCCTCTGGGGCAGAACAACTTCCTGAGTCCAGACCAGATGTTGAACAATGGCCTTACTGTCCGAAACATGGACAGCAGATACTTCTTTTGTGACCCCCTGCTTTCCCCAATTAAACACCCCTTGTTCTTTTTTAACCATTTCACAAAATGATCTTGTGGTAGCAAACCACTGCCATGTGGTTTTCTGTTATTAATCCTAAACTTTCTTTCCTTAGTGTTTTATCTTAAGACATATAATGTTATTTTCACAAGCATTCTGAAAATTATCTAAGTAAATGTTATTCCCTTCAACATAGTTACCTTAGGAGAAGAAATATTTATTCCAATGATGTGGTCATTGCCCAAAACATGTCTAGAACTCCCTTCTCAGTGCCACACACTTGCTTCTCTCATATTCTGAAGCGTGCAGAGTGCAGCTCTATAGGAATATATGGCTAAAGATGTGAATACACACGGGTTTTCATTATATTTTACCTATAACACATTTACACTTACTTTATCTTTTTCTTTCTAAATAATGAAAGATCCAGCCGGGCGCTGTGGCTCATGCCTGTAATCCCAGCACTTTGGGAGGCTGAGGCGGGTGGATCATGAGGTCAGGAGTTCAAGACCAGCCTGGCCAAGATAGTGAAACCCTGTCTCTACTAAAAAAATACAAAAAAATTAGCTGGGTGCAGTGGCAGGCACCTGTAATCCTAGCTACTCGGGAGGCTGAGGCAGGAGAATCGCCTGAACCCAGTGGGCAGAGGTTGCAGTGAGCCAAGATCATGCCACCGCACTTCAGCCTGGGCAACAGAATGAGACTCCGTCTCAAAAAAAAAAAAAAAGAAAGATCCAAATATTGAATGAACACTCTCACTTTTATATTAATGTCCACATTTGTTCATGGAATACTGTGTAACTCTTCACTTGACCCTAACTTTAGAAACAGCTCATATAGCACCTCAAATTTGATATTAGCGAATAGCTATTAAAAATGCTATTATCTGTGTTAAGTGGAATTTTAGGTTTCATTGCCTAAAAACCTAAAATGGAAGTAAAGTGGATTTTCTTGTCATCTACAGGAAATGTTTGATGTTATACTGGATGAAAATCAGCTTGAGGATGCATGTGAACATCTAGGGGAGTACCTGGAGGCATACTGGCGTGCCACCCACACAACGAGTAGCACACCCATGACCCCACTGCTGGGAAGGAATTTGGGCTCCACGGCACTCTCACCATATCCCACAGCAATTTCTGGGTTACAGGTATTGTCTCTTTTTCGCTCATGCTTTTTACAATCTTACATGTAAGATTCTATGGGAACTTGATTAGGATGGAGACTGGAGTCATCCTTAATCTGAAGAGGGAACACTATGTGCACATTATATTTAAAAATCTTAAATATTATCTAATTATGATCTATCCTAGAGAAAACTACCCAGAGACTGACAATTTCCTGAGAACTTTGCTCTCTGTGAATTTATAATGGATTTTACTTAGGTAAATTAATTCCTCCTATGTCTAAACTCTGCTGGGAAACTGAATGCCTACTCAATGTACCTGCCCATTACATTTTTTAGAGACATAGTCTCACTCTGTTGTCCAGGCTGGAATGCAGTGATATGATCATAGCTCACTGCAGCCTCAAGTTCCTGGACTCATGGGCTTATGCAGTCCTGCTGCCTCAGCCTCCCAAATAGCTGGGACTACAGGCACATACGACGCATGTGGATAGTTAAAAAAAAAAAAATCTGTAGAGACAGTGTCTCACTTTGTTGCCCAGGATGGTCTCAAACTCCTGGCTTCAAGCAGTCTTCCCACCTTGACCTTCCAAAATGTTGAAATTACCATCATGAGCCACCACTCCTGGCCCCTTCATTACTTCTTAATGCCACTTCTCAAGGATTATACAATAGCTAAATAAGATATATAGATGCAGATAGGCCTTTCGACTGCCCTTAACTAATCCCGCCCCACCCAGGTTGCTAGGCCTGCTCTCTACCTTGCACAAGACAGTGTGGATATAAGTAGAGCTGCTCTGTTCAGAAACAGTAACTGATCCCTGAGTTTTCCTGGGGCTGTGCAGGGACCCACCTTTGTAAGTGGCTGTGGCACGTGTCTTTTAGGGAAGCTGGGGATGAACACAGGATCAAGAGGTTCTCTCTTCTGCTGTTCTGGTGCTGTACTCAGAGGTAGAGATAGGGAGCCAGAGACCTTATGGTACAAAATGAGCCTGCCTTTCTACATCAATTATTATTTACCATTCATCAAGTAGCTACTGGAATGTGGCCAAACCTGCAGCAAACTGAGGAACATGTAGTCAACTGAGCCCTCTTATATGATGATGAGTTTTGTTGTAATGGATTATAATGATAGTCATAATTGTCGATCATACAGAGTTAACTCTGAGATAAATGGCACTCTCTGAAATGCTATTATAGCTGTATTACTCTGTTACAAAATTGCATCTTTGTAAGCAGAAAAACTGCCATGCAAATGAGTAGCTTTTGAAACTAGAAATGAACATGAAAAATGTACTATGGTAATGTACAGCACATGTGCATACATTGGGACTATTTCATGCCTTGTTTCACTTCCTGTGGGCTGATCTGAGTGTACATTACTGCTGACTAGTTTGGATTGGCTCTGAATTGTACATTACGGAATGAGAAATAGATGCATGAAGCAATACACTTCTGTAATGTAGGTGGAAATGCAGTGTTGCACTTTCGTATTGAATACAACAATCTTGACTCATCACTGCTAAGACATCCACCTAGATTGGCCCTCCCTGTTTCACTAATGAGTTAATGTATTGCCCTTAATTCTGTGGCCTATTTCTTCTCCCAGTAACAACTGACACTTCATTGTGAGGCACCTGACTGAGGTTAAAGGCACAGTCTGTGACCTGTCAAATGAATTTCCTTCTGCCTGAATCTGAGTGTACTTTAGATGAGATGTGTCGGCCCATGGTTTCACCAGGATCCTGTACCTTAACTGATGTGACCTACCTAAACCGGTAGACACAAGTAGATAAATGTTTTCTCATAGTGAAGAAAAATGTTAAATAATATTTTCTGAGCCTTCAAATAAGTATCTTAAAATACTAATTTCAATTAATGGTATTAGAGGAATTTAGTTTTTATATTGGAAGATTATTTTGCAGGACATTTTAGTTGAGGAAGCAAGATTTATAAATGTATCAATTAGCTGGCTTCATAATTATTGTATACACCCTTGGAAAGATTATTACATTAATGTAGGATGCAGAAACACTTTATTTTATGAACAGCACAAATAATAATTTTATTAAAATGTTTTAAAAGGTATAAGGAATATTCAGTTGGATCAAGGTGAGGTGTGTTACTTTAGAAAGAGAAATATTATATCAATTCAGGAGAGAAATAATAAATGCTATTCTGGACTTTATTTCCCAATAGTAAAATAATTTTCATTTTTGCAATAGAAACAGACTTTTGCAATAGAAATGCAATAGAATAAGTCCATTTAGACCTTCCTAAATATATTAAGTTCCATTTAACAGTTAGCTTTCAATTCTACATTTGTAATAGGAAGCATAGTCATTCAGCACTGTGGAATTAAACTCATAAACTATCAACACTCTGGCAGCTTTTCATGTTGTGTCCCAAATAAACAAGACCAGATATTCTGAGCAGACCATTGGTGCATCAGAATGCCTGATTAAGTCAGATATTTAGCATCTTATTGTACAGATCCTATGATTTTACATACATTTACATGTTTAGATGAATGAAGCTGACATTATTTAATCAATGAACTATCTGATATTTTTAGAGTCAGCGAATGAGGCACAGCAACCACTCCACAGAGAACTCTCCAATTGAAAGACGAAGTCTAATGACCTCTGATGAAAATTATCACAATGAAAGGGCTCGGAAGAGTAGGAACCGCTTGTCTTCCAGTTCTCAGCATAGCCGAGATCATTACCCTCTTGTGGAAGAAGATTACCCTGACTCATACCAGGACACTTACAAACCCCATAGGAACCGAGGATCACCTGGGGGATATAGCCATGACTCCCGACATAGGCTTTGAGTCTGATGAAACAAAAAATATTCATCTGTTGACAATTTGCCATAGCAGTGCTAGGATAAACCAATCATCTTAACTTGGCTAACATAGCACAGTATTTACTGTGCCAATGGGCTGCTGTCATTTTATGCTAAGTAAGGGGCAAAAAAAATTACATTATGCCCTTGAGTCTAGATGGATATTAGATGCCCGATCATATAGATATTTTTAAGTGCAACATTTACATGATAACAGTACATTTTGTTTTCTTCATAGATTTAGACACATCAATTTGTAATTTAGGGTACTTACAAGGCACATATAAAATAATTTCCCATGCTGGAAATTCCAAATGACCAGTTCCAGTTGGAACCAATTTATAAACCAATTCCTGTTGGAATTTGGGTGAATTGACTAGAAAGTCTACTTGAGCATGTTGTAATCAATTGAAAAATCTGGGAAAAAAAAAAAAAAACTAATAAGAAAATAGAAATACCAATAGAAGCCAAATCCAGCTTTGGTATTTATTTGCTGGAAGCTAAATTTACACTTAAAGTTGGAGTGTATAAACATTTTAATATATGTTAATGTTGCCAGAATGACTTTTCAAACTTACCAAATGTATTGATAGTGCCAAAAAAAAAAAAAAAATCTCAGAAATCTTAATGCAGAAATTATATAGTCTCCTCAGATTTTAATATTTTTACTTCTTTCCTGGCACAGCTGTTGTATTCAAAGTGTTTTGCTTTTTGTTTAGTCAGTACTGTTAGCTCATTTGAGGTTGGCAAAAACAAATACAAACAAGCAAAAACCCTCAAAATGTTTTCAGCAGTGAGAGAGAATAGTAAAGAGAAGCCCAAGCATAGCTGGTTATATGAAATATAAAATGGGGTGTTGTTCTCCCTTTAATCAATCTGAGCACAACTACGTACATCCAGGAATCTAAAGTCAGATAGTAAGGATGTGGTACCAATCCTCCTGAGTGTAATGCTAAGCACTTCTAGACGGGAATTCATCTATTTCTCTTAATACAAACGCAGGGTCAGTATTTCCCGCCAACAAGATTGAGTATCTTTCCATTGCTTCTTTCAGTCTCTGTCTTTGGATATCTGAATGTTCTGGCCCTTCAGCAAATTCTTTAAATCATGCTAAGGATTTTTGTTTTATGTGGACACACTCAACTTTGATATTCAGGAGGTGTTTTTACAAAATGACTAATTGAAAAAAGTTGAAACAAATGATTTTGAAAGCTTGCACCAAAAAATAAACTCATAGATTCAGAAATATTTGTTGACTAAAATTATAGCATTTTAATGCAGAAAATTATAAAGAATTTGGAGATTGAGCTGCCTTATTTCTAATGAACACTCCTCTTCATCTTAGTAAGTCTTCACCGTTTTTCCAGTGGCTATAATTATGGAATTGGTGACCTATGTTTTATATTATCAAGGAAGCCTTAGATTCACTATGATCCAAGAAATTATTGAAATTGACCCTTTTTACATAAATATCTTTTAAAAAATTGCTCTTGTTTCTAAATGTCCACAGTGCATGCATTTTCTAAAACTCCAATAAGTCCAGCCATCAAAGTCCTTTTCTGCTAGTACAGGTCATGAAGCCTATTTTTGAAAATGATGATAATTAATTTTATAGTATCTTCTTTTCTCCCCAAGCCTTTCAATATTTAGGTACTCAAAGCATGCACCAGTTCAGTAATCTTCTTGACCATGGAAAGAAGTTCCATATTACTGATGAATTATATATATATCTTGAACCCCATTACAACCTCACCACATCCCCCCTGCCTTTATGTTCACTATATGTACCCCATTACAAACCTGTTTAGCTGATAATGAGGATACCTATAAATCTGTAAGTCATTTCAATATTTGATACAATTAAAAAATATGGGCTTAGTAAATTTTAAAAGTTAACATGTGATACTGGCTTGTGAGATTCTTCTGTCATCTAGTGAAGCTTATAAAACTTTCAGTTAAGACATTTTAAAAGAGTTATATCCATTAGGCACTTTAATAAACATATAACCTGCCATTACCGAATACTTTGTTAGAACACAGAAGAGCATCTTCCAGCAAACAAAAATATATTTATTACATGTACAGCACATACTTGCATGAGAAAGAAAACATTAGCCAAAACATTTTTCTATATGCTTTACTGGTTTCTTGTTTGTGCGCATTAAAGTATTTAATTGCAAAGAGTGCACCAAGGTGTATAAATTTAGACTAGACAGCTGTTCAGCTTTTTCTGTAGTAGCATTAGCAATTTGGTCATTTAACTACTTTAAGATATTTACATTTTATGGCAGGTAGCTGTAACAGCATTTACATATATTTCCTAGTCATCAAGATTACCATCTTCTTTCAACTTTTTAAAAGTCACTTGTTTTTAAAGGCCTCTCAAAGCCTTGTTTTTAGTCTTCCATGTCATGCCGATAAAGAGAGGCTCATTCAATATCTGTGCACAAAACCAATCTATCATTTACCGTCAGACGTCCATACCTGTTTTGCTTTGCATTCTTACTCAAAAGCTGACAATCTTGGAAAGGGTATAATGTATATTTTATTGATGGATATATTTAAATGTTTACTTTAATTTGGCATATTCTTTCCCCTTCTGTAATAAGTTTATCTTCCTCAGATAAGGGGATATACATCTTATTTTTTTTTTTAAAGACTTAAGAGTTTATTGTGTAAATGATACTTAAAATCTAGATATATACTAAGTGAAAAGTTTTATTTTTGCCAAGCACACCAAGCACCTTTGAAAAATACATATTCCATAAATACTCTGTTTTTAATTAATTTCATTTAAAGATAGCAAATGATTATAGGCAGGAGAAACAAGTCTTTTACTGTTTGGAGGCTGTTTTAACTTACAGTACAAGCCACATACTAGAATTCTGTAATTTCAGTCACAGACATATAATAATATGGACTCATGTGACAATGTGGAAATGTAGTTCTGGAAAAAAAAGGAATGCAATTTGTCAATCCTGATGTTAATGCTCAAGGGTATAATGTGACTCTGATATTATAACCAACAACATTATCTTGTTTACCATTTAAAGCAACACTTAGAAATGTTTATAAGTGATGATTCTCTCTTATCTTTATACAGTTCTATTGGAGAGAAGGTTGAAATTGTTCACAATTTAGACTGATGATCTTTCCTACTAAGAGTCTTAATTTTGTGACTATATAAGTCATTGCAGTTAGTCTTTAATGAAACAAATTTTATTAATGTGAAACAAATTCTGAGACAATTATTTGTTCCCTTTAAATAATCTGCTATTTAATTGTTGTTGTTGTTGCAAAATGTATTTTTGGAATGTTAACCTCTTTTCATACCTGCATACTTGAACTTGTCTTTTGTGTGGGGGCCTTAAAATTCATAATAGGAAGTGGAGGCAGTGAAAGGAAGTAAGAAAAGGAAATTATTCTAAAAGATGGTTTGCAAATTTAAACTCTTTAAATGAACATATCACAAAATGTTGTTAAGACCCAGGATGTCCATTAAGAATGTTTCTTGGCAACCTTAATTTGCATGTTAGTATATATTTTCTTAGTTACACAGTTTTATTTTGGTATTTGCTTAAAAAATGTAATACCATTATAGAAATTACCCTATGTACTGATATATTTACTACCTCTTCTCTAGAGAAGACAATCTGTCTTTAAAGGGAAAAACACTGGTCAATAAGTAGTGATCAAAATTATCACTATTCTGGCTAACCTTGCTGCAAAACTAAACGCATAGAGTGTTAAAATATGCCTTCCCTTTAGATTTTAAACTGTTTCCAAAATGCTCTTTGACACCCTTTCATTTCTTTCACGTCAGTGAAGTTTTCTTTGAATTGATCCACAGTTTATCATGAGGCAAGGTTAATTTAACATGTAAGTCATCATAGGGAACAAAACAAACTGCAAGGGAATTGCCTTTGTGTGCAACTTGTTATAATATCTAGTTCTAAGTCTAAAAGAGAGTAGAAGTCCAGAGATTTTAAGAGCAGCTGGTTTGCAAATTCACGTTTTGTTGGTCCTTGACTTCTGCAGAGACCCAGAGCATGACTTAGCTATTTACTGGGTAAGGATATGCATTATCTTGGACTCCCATGTAATTGGAATAAACTTCATATCAATGTTTCAAATAAATGCTGTGTACCCCTTATTCCTTTTATATTTCTGCCTTTGTCTTTTATGACAATGTTGCATGTTGTGTTTTTTTTTTAATTATATAAAACTCATCCTTGAATGACTATATGAATGAAAACTTTATAGGAAATTATGTAATAAAATCTGTTTTATTAGTTTCTCATACCTCTAAATCCTGTCAATATTTAAAATAACTCTTACTAAGTTTACTTCCTCAAGCTGTGTCTATGGGGCAGAACAGTACTCTTCTTTAAAATGGTAATCATGATCAAACCAGTCAAGTCAATCCAGTTAGCTGTTAGACAGACAATAAGGATAACCTTCTTTTTGACTCAAGCAGTCAAGTTAGTCAAAATAGTAAAATTGGCTTATATGGGCACCCAGAACTACAGCATTCAAAAATTACTTTTAAAGATTTCTTCTTTTATTGAAATGGACTTTCTTAAATAAAATACATCCTCTGATAGCAACTATCTCTTTTTACTTATAGATGATTAATTCTAAATGCTTCATGTAATTGAGGGACATTATGAGAAGACTAGAAAGTTTCTCATCAGATAATCCTAAGGGCTGTAACTTCTACTTGCCATAAACAAAGTATAATTAAGAGTGAGTAGCAATTGGTTTGGGGGAGTCTTAGTTATGTATGAAACTTTCTTTTGTTTCTCATGATGTATGTAAAATGTTTGCAGAAGGATGGTAGAAATTGTTACTAATTAATTTAGAGTGGTTTGGGAGAATACACTGATACTTCCTCATTTGAAAATTATAAGGAATTAAAAGAGGAACTAAGAACCAGTAGTGGCTGGCCTCTAGCTTTTCAATACTTTGTAAGTGTTCTTGGTTATGTTTTGAACACTTAAATTTCTCAACAAATGGCTATGTCTATATTTATGTAGGGGCCACTCTTGCCCTACTTGCATGCCACTTTCACACACTTTTAACTGAAATCGGTGTGAATTCTGTATGCATAAGGGATGTATTAAAGATGCGGGATCATTAATGCTATATTGTTGCATACTATTTTTCATATGCCTTACAATATTTTCTGGGACGTTATTAAAATGAAAGCATTTTATTGCCAAAATAAATCTATGTTGTTATTTATAACCTGCATTAGCAGTAGAAAAATAATGTAGCAAAAACATATTGTACAGTACAAAATTATAAAATATATATTTTGCCAATAATATAAAAATAGATTGAGGAGAAAGAAGCACATTTGTTGTAGCACAAACTTATAACAAAATCCACTGTTAAATTTGGCAGTCATATTTTTTAAAAGTATGTCGATTTAGTTCTATCAGATTTACTTCATCTACCATCTTTTTAACTTGCTGCTTGATACTGTTCCAGCAATTTATTTCATAGCCTTGCAATCTGTGGATGTAATTTCTTTTGTTTTATTCCCTTCCATAAAGTTTATTAAATTTTATTTTGTGATAACACTCATACTATATTTTCTCTTCTTATTTCTTCTCTTTCAATAACAGCAGCAGAAAGTCACAGCAAGTGAGCTCATAGGGCTCCTCTGAATTTTGGACATGTTTGAAATTTTCGTATTTTTCACAGCCTCAAGTCAGAAAGATCAATAAAGATGTCCCAACCACAAAGAATTATATTACTTAGGGATTCTTTAGTTTGTTTTGTACTGAATACTACTTTGAAACATAATTTAAAACCATTAGCTGTGTTTTTGTAGGGATGGTGGGAGGGAATAAAAAATAAATGTATTAACATAAAACATACTAAAACAGAAATATGGCAAAATGATGTAAAAAGATTTTTCCTACTATTCTGAGGGCTGTTGAAATCCCAGGCTATTGCTATATCTCCATTGACAAAGTGGGATAAAAAAATACCTTTGTCAAATAATTTTTTTCCTTTCTTTCTTTAAATTTTAATTACTTTAATAATGTGTCCCCTTTTATTTTTCCTATCTAGGTATGTGTAGCATTCTACAAGGCATGCTGGGTAAAATATACTATGCAAATGTGTACAGTGCTGCATGTTTTGTTCTCCCTCTGCTTTAGTGGCTTTAAAGAAAAAAATGTGGTGTTATTTTTGTGAATAAAAACATTTAACAAAGAAAATGCAGAGTGCATGCATAGAGTATCCTCATTTCTATGGATTTGTTTTATGGAATTCAAATGTGTACAAAACAACTGCATTACTTTTTTTCTTTTATATAATAAATGAAAAAACACTGAAACCAGCGTTATACCTCTCCTTTATATTATTCTAGAAATATATTGAAGAAATACTGGAAATCAGTAGGTACCCTTTTATGAAAAAAAAAAGTCTAAACATTTATCCTAAAAATGCATTCAATCAAATGACTATTTTCTGAATACTCTGCCAGGTGCTATGAGTGATCACAAAATAAGCACTGTATCAGGAAAGAGTTTATAAGTTAAATACACACACGTGTGAAATAAAATATATTAGAATACATGTGCAAAATAGGATTGAGTATAGAAAAATATACTAGATGAAGTATTGTTCACAAGTCATTCACTCCAAAATGATTAATATTGCAGTTATCAGACATTTCCAAAGCTATCTTGTACCTATAAGAATTCCATAGTATGTATTCGGAGCAATTGTCTATGTTTAAAGACTTGATTGGAATTTGACTTTTCTGTCATTGCACTGTATAGGAGATTCAAAAGAAATATGGACTGTGTTGATTATTATCACTGCATTAGGATTATACAGTGATTTATTAGAGTCAAGTTATTTCACAATTATCACATTTAATTCATCTGATCACCCAGGAAAGTAGGCAGGGCATGGATTATGAGACACAAATACAAATGAAGAAACCAAAGCTTATTGAAACTTCTCTCTCAAAAGAATTTTTCTTTCTTTTTTTTTTTGAGACGGAGTTTCACTCATGTTGCCCAGGCTGGAGTGCACTGGTGCGATCTCGGCTTACTGCAACCTCCGCCTCCTGGGTTCAAGTGATTCTCCTGCCTCAGCCTCCCAAGTAGCTGGGATTACAGGCATGCGCCACCACACCTGGCTAATTTTGTATTTTTAGCAGAGACGGGGTTTCTCCATGTCGGTCAGGCTGGTCTCCAACTCGCGACCTCAGGTGATCCGCCCGCCTCAGCCTCCCAAAGTGCTGGGATTACAGGCATAAGCCACCACGCCCGGCCTAAATTCTTAAGTATGTTGCATTAGTCATTTCCCTCAACTGGATATTTCAGCTTATTTTTCTCCATCATTGTGAGCCTACATAATGGATCCATGTTCACTGGTATCTTTTGCCTTCACCTCCACTGCACCCGGCTATGAGTATGTATTTTTAAAGAAAAATTTTAAATGTTAAAGAAAAATTCTTGGCTGGGCACAGTGGCTCACGCCTGTAATCCCAGCACTTTGGGAGGCCGAGGTGGGCGGATCACCTGAGGTCGTGAGTTCGAGACCAGCCTGACCAATATGGAGAAACCCCGTCTCTGCTAAAAATACAAAATTAGCTGGGTGTGGTGGCGCATGCCTGTAATCTCAGCCACTCAGGAGAATGAGGCAGGAGAATCGCTTGAACCCGGGAGGCGGGGGTTGCAGTAAGCCGAGATTGCACCAATGCACTCCAGCCTGGGCAACAAGAGCGAAACTCTGTCTCAGAAAAAAAAAAAAGTACTCATATGTTACTGTTAAGCTAGGTAATCATCTGAAGCATACAAAACAATGCCTGGAATATAATAAATGTTGACTGAATGAACAGTACCTCAGTTATTGGAGAGGTATTATATAAGGCTATCTCAACTATCAAAGTATTTCAGCCAACAATTTGAAACTCATCCACCAGCCATATGCCTGAAGCTACTTCTCTTGTCATCAGCACATTTCCAATAATAAAATGGACTAAGGAGAGAAACATCTCATTTGTACTTTCATACAACATGAAGATTAGCACAGTGGTTTGAGTATGGATCTAACCTTTGCCTGGGTTCAAAGTCTTGATCCAGCAATAACTAGCCGTGAACTTGCGGCAATCACTTAATGTCCCCATGCCTGGGTATTTCTGTAGAGTGATTTTCTTTTGATTATGGATCACATTTTCCTGTTTCCTTGCACGTCTAGTGATTTTGTATTGGATTTAGTACAATGTAAAGTTTACATTGCTGATGACTTGATCTTGTATTCCTTTAAAGAATGTTATACTTATTTTGGCAGGCAATTGTGAATTAGTTTGGCCCTTTCAAGGTTTGGTTTTACGCTTCTTTAGAACTGGTCTTATGTAGGGCTTATTCTTAGGCCAGTTAGCTCCTCTTCTAAGGTCTCTGGGGGTGTCCACTCAATTATATCGAGTTTATCCAACCCGCAGCCTGTGCGCTGCATGCAGCCAAGGATGGCTTTTTAAAAATTTATTTATTTATATATTTAGTTTTGAGACAGTCTCGTTCTGTCGCCCAGGCTGGAGTGCAGTGGTTCAATCTCGGCTCAGTGCAATCTCCACCTCCTGAGTTCAAGCGATTCTCCTGCCTCAGCCTCCAGAGTAGCTGGGATTACAGGCATGCACCACCATGCCCGGCTAATGTTTGTAATTTTAGTAGAGACGGGATTTCATCGTGTTGGCCAGGCTGGTCTCAAACTCTTGGCCTCAAGCGATCTGCCCACCTTGGCCTGCCAAAGTGCTGGGATTACAGGTGTTAGCCACCACACCTGGCCCCAGGATGGTTTTGAATGTGGCCAACACAAATTCGTAAACTTTCTTAAAAGATTGAGTATTTTTGTGATTTTATTTATTTTTTCGCTAATCAGCTATCAATAATGTTAGCTTATGTTATGTGTGGCCCAAGACAATTCTTCTGCCAGTGTGGCCCAAGGAAGCTAAAAGATTGGACACCCCTGTCCTATATATTCAGTTCTCTTCACTCTGGCTGAAGGGAATTTGAATAATTCCTGACCCGTTGTAATCTCTGGGAATCATTTGCATTACAGTTCCCTGGTACTTATTTTTCCTCAGGAATTGTGATTGGCCAGCCTCCTGCGGGTGCATACTGTATGAGTACAAAGTGATATGCAGCCAAAGACTCCATGGCCCATTAACAGGTTTGTAGAGCTTTTCTCTGTGTAGCTGCCTCCTTCCAGTTACTCTGCTTCACAAATTCTACCCATCTTGATCTCTGGGAATGCTGATGTGCACCTTCAGTTCTAGGAGGTTCCCAAATTCTCATTTAGGTTCCCACTTCCTCTGTAGTTGACTGGGAATTCCTTTTAGGGATAAAGTCCAGGAAATGGTAAGACTCCACTTGTTTCTCTTTTGCAAAGAATCACAGTCCTGTGATGTGTTTTTCAATATCTGAAATGTCATTGCCTGTACTTTGTGCAGTTTTCTATTTGTTAACGGTAGGAGGGTATATTCAAACCATCCTACTCTCTCATGTCTGAAATCAGAAGTCTCTCTAATGACATTTTGCACTTCTCTCTAATCATAGATAAATTGGTCTTTAAACTGTCTCTCTCTCTCTCTCTTCTTTCTTCACTCGGAAAATAACCTGGGAGACAATTTCCTTAAGGTAGATTGTAAAACATGAAGCTCCAGCATCACAGGTTAATGTGTATATGACATCCATTTCATAAGCTGACATCTGCGTAGGAGTCTGCAAAAGTCTTAGAGCTACCAAAGCATTACCTACAGCATGCAAGAATGGAAATATTAAAGAGTTAATGCAAATTGCTTGTACAAACTACATTGTTTTTCTAAACAGCGTACAGAGTATTAAGTAAATCCAGACATGATAATCTATAAATTAATATGGATTACTATGATTTTCCTTCCCTTCATGTATGGCTCCTCTAAATTTTGACTTTTTAACCATAAAGCCCCAAAAGAAGTCAAATAAATTACTTTTCTATATTTTGAGGTAAAATTGTGTGTAGTTAGGAGAAGTGAGATGGGAAGGTGCAGTTTATTGCTGATTTTGCTTAATTTCATGCAGCTGTTGTGGATGGGCGTGCAAAGCAGTTCAAATGGCTCCTACGTCTCCCAATTTTTCTTTCTTTTCCTTTTTACCAAGGTTAAGGAGAACAGAAAGGGACGGAGCTTTAGTGGCCACTAAAGGTTTTTAAATAGGGGAGTGACTTGATCAAAATCGTTGTTTTGGGCAATACTGACCTGAGAGTGAAGAGCGATTGGAAAGAAAAGAGCCCTGAAGTGCAAAAACGGCTTTAAGGCGACTATCTAGGTAAGGCCACTGACTTCAGCTGAGTGTCAGAGGGCGGCAGGCTTTTCCCTAAAAGACCCAGCGGGGACACCATGTCTTACAGGTCAAGACGTGGAACTTTTACTGGTGTGCCAAGGGTTGGGGATGGACATGGGGTACTCAATTATATGTTCACATTATGGCGCAATGGAGGAGATTCGAGAGAAATATAAATACTCGGGGACGCAACAGCAAGCAGTCGGAAGCCATCTGCCCCAACTTGCGGCCTTCACAGCCTCAGTCCCAGGTAAAGGTCCCACGCCTTCAGCAGTCTTGATTATGCAAATAAGCGAGAACTAGGCGGGCGCCCTTTCCCAGGCTCCGCCCCTCTGGCCGCGCGCCTGCGCACTCACGTCCCACCAAACCCACCCCCTCGCCTCCCCCGCCCGCGTGGTCGTCGCCTCCGCAGCCGCCCGAGAGGAACTGGGGGAGGACGGTGGCCCGCGAGGCTCGTCGCAGACAACGCGGCGGCGATGTCCGCGAGCCAGGCGAGTGCCGCGGCGGCAGCGGCGGGGCCTTGCGCGCGGCAGGGCGGCCTGGGCTTCGGCCTCCCTCCGGTTCCCTGGAAGCGGGCCCGCGACCAGCGCGGGAGCAGCAGCAGAGGCGGAGGCTCCAACGCGTCTCTCTCCTCCCCTTCAGCCTGAGCCAGGGGAAGCCAGGCGGCCCGGGTGTCTGGAGGGGGGGGTCTGCTGTCCGAGAATGGGAATTCTCTTCACCAGAATATGGAGACTGTTCAATCACCAGGGTGAGGAGCTCGGTCCGCGGGCGTACGGGTGGAGGAGAGGGTCAGCTCGGGCCGGCTGGGTGGGGGTCTCCGAATACTTCCGGAATGTGGGCGGCGCGGTCGGGCGCCGCCTTAGCGCGGGGTGCAGGCTGCGCCGATACGGCCCCGGGACCGTTCGGTTCCCGCTCCCGAGCCTGGGGATGGTTCCTGACTCGCAGCCCTTTGTCTTAGGGGACCTTCCTAATAAGTCTTTTCCGCAATACACCCA